TACAATTAGTAGGTCATCCTTATAGTAGCCAGAGTATAAACTAACTGGAAATTCAAAAGATTGCTAGTTCACTGCCTTAGTTTAATCAAAGCTTTTCAGTTTTTGCTATTTGTGTCTATACTGATGGCACAGATGCTCTTATTGTTCACATAATGTTTTCCCTACCATTTATTTCAGAGACATGTAGGGATGTTTTATGCCCAGGCAGTTCCACATGCGTGGTTGATCAAAATAATAATGCCAACTGTGTGACATGCAATCGGATTTGCCCTGAGCCAACTCTACCTGAACAGTATCTCTGCGGAAATGATGGAATAACATACGCAAGTGCCTGCCATCTAAGAAAAGCTACTTGCCTGCTTGGAAGATCCATTGGCCTAGCCTATGAAGGAAAATGTGTCAGTAAGTACCATGGAACAAGGGATTACAGCTCTATTTTTAAAATGAGAGGAAATACACAAAGGGAAAAGCTTTTTCAAACTGATCCGGAATTCTTATTTCATAGCACAAACCTAGTTCAGTCTTTTCCTGGCTGTTCTTCTCAATAGTTACCTTAGCAGAAATTCCAGGATCCTTGACTTAACACAGCCACTAGAATCTCTCAGGCACATGATGTGGCATGGCTAGATACAAATCTTTTTTTGCATTACCAGAATAAAGCAGCAGTTGATTGGCCCCCAACAGAATTAAGGGGCAAATTATCTTTTAACTCCTACTTTAGTGGTTCAAATCCATGTCTCTTCTTCCTTGAAGCTGAATTATTATTGGTTATTTATATAACTGACTTCTTTGCCCCAGGAACCACTGGCTCTTACCTTGCTTCTGAGAATTGTTGCTTGGATTGTTCCACATCTGGAGGGTCTCACAAAAGGAGAGATGGAAGGTTATGAGAGAAATGGCTCTTGATCTTGTATGTTACATGGGAGCAGTTGAAGGTAGGGTTGGCCAAGCAGCAAATGGGAATCCTTTCACTACACACATAGATAGTCCTTGCTTAATGACCTTAACTAGGACCAGAATTTCCATCACTAAGCAAATCAGTCATTAGGCAAAGCATCACATAATTCTACCACTTAGTGACAATATTTCTAATAGTTCCAGTCGTTAGGCAAGGACCACACACTCCCCATGCTCTGCCATGGGGATTCCACTTCAGTTCCCGCCATCTGCCTATCTCTGCTCCTATCACTACCCTTTTGGCCACTCTGCACTCTGCCACCACCATCTACCCATGCTTTCTCCCAGCAGTCCCAGCTTCACCATCTTGTTCTGATGAAGCATACCCAGCCAAGGCAGCTGCTGGCCTTTTGAAGATCTCTGCAATGCCACAAAAGAGTTCCTTAGTCTCTGGAGTGGGTTTGCAAAGCATCAAGTTGACCTCGCAATGCCTTTGGGTGGCCAAAAGGCAGAGGTGAGGAGAAGATAACCCAGTGTGGGGAATTGCTATTGTTGATGAAGGTGGTCTGTTAAGGGCCTAATTTTGATCACCTGAATGTGGGGTAATTGAACAGCCAAAACCTGGAGCATCATCCGTTACTACCATTTTTTCAGCACTTTCATAACTTTGAACAGTTGCTGAACAAATAAATGCCTGTTAAAAAAGAACTACCTATACAGAGCCTGAACTGCATCTCAGTACTGGCAATGGGATAGCTTCCTCATTGCACCAGAAGGTAACTTAAGGCTATAGAGGAAGCTCCGTGGTATAGCCAAATGATCTACATTATCTGACAATTTTATCAGAATGGTGAAGTTGCAATATTGTGACACAAGATCCACCTCTTACATGCATCCATGAGATGTCACAATATATGTATGAAACAGGCAGAGCTTATATTGTGGCATTACAATGCTTGTTTGCTCTCTGTGCTTCCCATATAGGTAACCACGAATACAACTTTCTCCTCTTACAACTTCTAGAGCTGATTAACACACTGCTTAAGAATAGTTTTAAAAAGTTAAAAAGTCAAGACAATTTATGTGAAGGTCTTGATGGAGAGTGAAGCTGGAAGAAGCCATGTTACCAGATAGCGACAATTTTAGTTCTACTCTGTGCTAGTAATGGGAATAATGCAGAATAAACTAAAACTCTTAAGCGAAATTCTCTTCCCCCAAAGTTATTAATTAATGCTGCTAAAAACAAAAGAGACATTATTAAGATGATATACTTATATATAACTTCTTGGTATTGAAAATGCGGCAGTGGTAATAAAGGTAGTTTATCCAAGAGTTATGCATGAGGACTAGGCATGAGTTGTCCCGCCAGATGGTGATGTACTCAATTTCCAGTTTTCTCAGTATTGACTCTGTTGGTTTGGGCTGCTGAAAGTGATGATTCAGCCACATATGAAGGTCTACCCTGTGCCATAAATTCCATTGGTGTTATTATCTTACCAGATTAGAGAGGGTGATTTACTAAAAGGCCCTTAAAGTGAGTAACAGTCAGAAGCAAGTTTGAAATCAGAAGCTTTCTGATTCTAGCTCAATCTCTTATTTGCACCAGCTCAGGAAGAAATACTGCTTATATAGGGGTTCTTTTGTTTGGTTTGGTGTTGGTGCTCATGTTCTCCTCTGAAATATTACTTCCAGTTTAAAAATGACAAATTAAAACAGAAAGATAGTTTGGTCAGTAAGTTAACAGAGATCTGATTTCAACCCACTTCTATGTGTGGAAAACCACTTACATATTGTTGCCAAGAGAACTCCCTGGTTGTTTAAATTACCAAAAATTGCAATCTCTTTATGCCCCTATCTCAGATTATAGACAGTAAATTACAAATACATCATTATTATGTTTATTTATCAAATGTAGATTGATTCAGTAGCACGTCTCTTTAATTAACAGTCTCAAGTAGAATGCAGTCTTCTCAAAACAAAAGAGAAGATGGTAGGTGGTGCTTTAAGCAATATTTAGGATAATATAGCTAACTACAATTCTCAGAATACTTTAGCATTAATTGTGCTGACTAGGATTGCTGGGAAACATTATTTAGTAACTTTTAGAAGGCCACAAGATTCTTAGTCCTGAAGTGATAGCAAAATCCATACTTCCAACTTTAAGCAATATGAAATTTGAAGATTCATAATGTTTCAATGTGTTTTCCCTAGTTTTGTACATCTCTCAGAATCCACTGAAGTTGGGCAGCCAATAAATATAAATAATTAAAAATAACAAGAAGCTAATATTAAAGGCCTATACAAGGCTTTGACAGAAATACACAAAAAGTATTACTTAGCCAAAGAGAGCTGAACCCTTCTTTAAATCATAGAGATTGAGATAATATTCTGAAGTTACTGAGGGAAATGCCTCTCAAATTTAATGGAGTGTAAGGGGAAGAACTAAAGTACAATAAGGCTTGCAAGATTGATGTCAGCCCCACTAGATAAATTAGACCAGGAATATTTATATTTTACCGACAAAGAAATAAAGGAAGACTAGTATAGATCTATTTCAAGCTCTCGTTAGCTAGCAGAATCTTGCAAGTCTGATGTTTTCCCCCTCTTCCTTACTCTCTCTATATCTTAATAGATCCTGATCCACATATTTTCAGCCACTCTTTAACTCTCATCAGTCACAGTCACTGGTTTCAGTTACTTCTTCCATTTCTGTTGTTTGACTGAGCAATATAACTTCTAGTCCACTGAAATACAGCCAGAGCAATATGCCAGGAATGATAAACCAGGAATGACAAACACTCTCTCTCCCTTCTTTTGTTCTCTTAAGGCTGCTGATGGAGCAGCAATAAACTCAAATGATTCAGAAGAAGTTGATTCGGTGAATACATAGGTTCTGGATGTTTACCCAAAAGATTGGAAATGAGTCACTCCCTGTCACAATCTCAATAATGTATCAGGACTGGGTTTGGAAATATTTTAGCTATTTTCTGGAAATGAATGAAGTATCCTGATTTTTAAATAATCCAGTGCTAGTTAATTGGGGTGAGGGATTTTTTGCATAATTTATATTGACACTGGTAGATAGAAATATTCCACTACAGCCAGTTATACTCAATCAGATTATTCATTTCATATTTATAAATCTGCATATGTTCTTCCATATTTAATAATCTCCATTTTTAATTTATTATATTTACCAATACCTAAAATGTTTAAAATTATTTGTATAGATATTTATTTTATTGCTGTTATTTATCCTGAATTTATCTAACTTGTCTTCATTGATGGCATTATATAGTCAAAGCGTACAAGCCAGATAAAACTATTATACCATCTCTGACTGGCTAACTAATTTAGGAATAAGGAAAGAAGTAGATGAATTAAAACCATTCCTAATAAATAGTAGGAGGCAAACATGATAAGAAAAAGTAGATATTTTCAAAAATTGCTAGTTCTGACTTTAAATTATTAAAATAGAAGGGAAAAAAAGCTGGCACAGCTCTTGCATAAAACATTCCACTCCACATCTGCCACATCACAGCTACTTCCTTGCTATGGAAAAATGCTATTATATACAAATTTATATTTCAAAAACTCATAGGAATGTAATCCTCAGATCCAGAAGGATAGAATTTGGTCAAAAAACTTTCCACCAAATCCAGTTGACAATTATTGAAGACTAGTCTTTGGCCTTCATTCCACTGGAATGTGTGATAGTTGTGAATACCAAGTCTTTGAAGAAGTTTTCTGACCACATGGCTTAGGATTCAGTTCAACTAGATTCCAATGGAAACATTTTGCTAGGCAAGAAAGCTTAGGAAACACACATTGGATTGATCCAAAACCACTTTTCTCCCCTACAAATAATAAATCATGCGTGTACTGGACATCTGCAAATACTAAAATCATGATCAAACATAATCTTCAAAACTGTATCAGCATCTTGAAGTGGCTTATAAATTGATAAAATAGAAAATAAATAAAATAATGTTTTCAGTAAAAGATCAAAAACATTGCAATTACATTTGGATTAAGACTTGATTCCTCTAAAACAAGTCTTTAGAATAGTTTACTTCTTCTTTGAATGCTCTGCGGAGCCAGGAAAGACATTCCACAATGTAAGCAGGACCATCAGAAGAGTAAATGCTGTGTAATTTAATATCATAACATTAATATAAGTATTCCCCAGGTGAGCAATCACCTGTCACATTAAATATTAAAGTTCAGCGACAACTGTTGCATGAGTTCTAGAGACTAAACCCACAGCTTTTAGGGACCCTGTGAAACCCAGAGGATTCAGATTGAATATTTCTGTGTCTAATTGTAATGTGAGCAAGCATTTGCACATGTGCACAATAACACAAAAATACACACACAACCTATTTCCTGTGCCCCAATGAAGATATTATTGTTCTCCTCACTATTAGAAGCAAGAAGGCAGTAAACCCCAACTGATTTGGGAAGAAACTAAGCAAATATAGCAAACAGGACTCCTAGAGATTCTATAGTCTAACACGAAAGGCACAGGCTATAAGTATTGCTATCTATGTTCTAACATGCTTCTATGTTCCTTTGGTTTCAGGGGAACAGATTTAAATATATGCCTAACTTCCCCATTTAATTAACCTACTTTTAAAATGCTGCACATTGATGAATCATATCCAGTTTTCCAAAACAGTTGTGCTTTTACAACTCCTACTCTTAATTCTAGGTTAGTAGTGATAAACTTAATAGGATGATTTTATAGACTGATTTTTCAAAAGGCTGATCTATCCATTTATTGCAACTTTTCAATCTTCTTTTGAATTCAAAATCAAACAAAGTATTATGTTTGTAATATTCTTGCATTTATGTTTGTGTTTGTTGTATCAAATGGTATTCTCAGAAACAGGAAAAAATAAAAAAATAAACTGAGAGCCTTGATATGTGAGGTTCAGCTTGTGAGATTTCAATGCAAGGAGATAAGCCCAGAAGTCATTCACCAGATTATTCATATCACAATCTTTCTTAACTTAATACTTCAGTGGGATATAAAAGCCTGATCTCTGTTATCTGACCATCATTATATGACAGATAGATAAATTTCTCCAGATGTTATAAATGGCTTTTTATATAATGTCAGGTTATATCCACTTCTTTGGATCCAACCCTGGAAGGCCTTGGAAAGGCCATTTCCAGAAATCCCAATCTCAATGACCTCCAGGATTTTGGAGAGTTCTTGTCTAGACACAACTGAAAGGCACCAGTTTGGAAAAGCAGATCTAGATTGTGTAGCCAGCACACTAGGACATCTGATCTTTGATAAGAAAAAAAGGTCATTTTCCCCAAGAAACAAAACATTTCTTCCTGCTGCCTTTCACTTAAAAATTCTGTGTGTTTTTTTAAATTGTGAGCACTGACATCCAAGATTGAGTGAGCTCTAGCACTATGCAATGCAGGAAATTTGTTGACTAGCAGCTTGGAAATCCAATATTAAATAAGGAATCATGTAGGCTAAATTCTAAATGTCTATTCAAACATAACTGTTATTGTGTTCAGTGACATTGGCTTAGGTGACAATAAATAAATAGGAAAATAAATATGTTGGCTCTCGATATCCTAAGCCCTTTCCTAGGTCAAAGAGTTACACTTAAGTCATGTCATGTATATGCCACTTTTTAAAGTATAACTATGTATGAGTGCTGTCCTATTATAGCTAAAAGTCAGCTCTTCACATAAAGTAGTTTTGAATTAATCAATCTACCAATTTTCTGTAGCCTGATATCTCTCTCTCTCTCTCTCTCTCTCTCTCTCACACACACACACACACACACCAACAAAAGCAAAGAAAGCATCACCAGAGAGTAGATAAGCTATTTCAACTTTTAGGAACATTCCTGCCATTAAATTAATTATATCTGGTTTCTTTGAGTAGTATGTTTTTTTTTACTGTATGTGCACATGTCAGGAAAAAAAAATACACAAGTGCTCTCAGAATTACCTTGAACCACAAGATGCTACCAGTTTATGATTATTGATAATAAAGTGCACCCCCTCCATCCATCCACCTGAAGAACTCTAATGTCAACAACTCTGAGAAATATATATTGCATTATTACTGCCACAAGGGCAGAAAAATTAAGCAGATTTTTAAAGTTCTCTTCTGTCCTTTCCAACCATTTTAAAAAGAATTATCTCCAGCTGAAATTAAGAGAAAGGAATAATAAATTAATTTCAAGTCAACATAGGTTATATGTCTACTTGGGCTTATGTTTTAGGCTAAAAGGACTTTGCTGTAATGAATTTTCTTTCCTATCTGGCAAAAAAAAAAACACAGTCAACAGTCCTTTTGTTCCTATGTAAAGCTGGATTTTCCAAGGTTTTACTTTTTAATGTCAAAAAGAATCAGCTTTTGAAGCTAATGGGCAGTACGAGATGATTCTCAACATTTTATTTCCCATCAGAGGTCTCTCCCCAACTTAAGGCTGGGAAATATGTTGAATTGCATGGTTTTGGGATAACCCTCCAAATGTTGTTGGATAATAGTTTTAGTCATACTCAAGTCCCACTAATTCTGCTGGTTGTACATCAAGCATGGCTGGAATTAAATCCAGACAATACTATTTATACCAGCAGGGAATAGGAAGAAGTGTTATATTTCATTCTATACCAAGTATGGAACTAGTCTTGGGTACTATGCATCTTGTCTTGAAGTTTGGGCATCATTTCTACAACATTTCAGGTGTTGTCCATAGAGTTTGCAGTCACAGTGATTTTGCTTTTCAGCTGAAGAATTTAACCACTTTCACAAACTGCCTTTCCTAGTACCACCCTTGACCTTATCCTCTACCCCAACACTTGGTGATAATTCAAATTTTCCACCTTTGCCTTCACTCTATTGGGGGGGTGGATTCACTACGCATCCCAACATTTTTAGAGCATTGTTTTCCTTTTGCTCTTTTAACCCTTATCTCTTCCCATTTTTCCTTTAATGAAAACCCTTTATAGAAGCCAAATCTTGTGAAGACATTCAGTGCAGCACTGGGAAGAAATGCTTGTGGGATTCCAGAGTGGGCAGAGGACGGTGTGCCCTTTGTGATGAGCTATGTCCAGAAAGCAAATCAGACGAAGCTGTCTGTGCCAGTGATAACACCACTTATCCAAGTGAGTGTGCCATGAAGGAAGCAGCCTGTTCCCTGGGTGTGCTATTGGAAGTAAAACACCCAGGATCTTGCAACTGTAAGTGAGATTTTTAACCTTGCAGGAACTTTAATCTTCTGAAGGCAAACAAACAAAAATCCTTAGAATAGGTGAGGATGGAAGCCTTTATTAAACAGGAAAGAAAACTATGCAGTAGTGAGATCTTATGTAGAAAGATTTATGTATTATGCAGAAATCTTGCGCTTGATGAGAAGAAAAATCAAATGTTTGAGGGTCCTTTCTCTTTTTAGGGAAGTGTCTAACAACAGAAAGTTGCCTTAAATGCATCTTCCTAGCTGTTTCTTGCCTTCCGTTAATATTGTTTGCTTGAGTGTGCTTTGCTGCCTGCTTTATTAACACTTGGCTATAATCTAATTGTTCCCTCACCTCAACCCTTCCCAAACTAGCTTAACCCTTAACCATGTGGGCTGCTGTCCGCTCACAATGGCCTCTGAATGAAGGACTCAACAGCAGTTTAAAAACCTAGAACACAAGAGCACTTTTTATCTAATTTCAGGAATCTGCCAAATAAACCTGAGCCATTGAGTCTCCAGAACTTGCTGCAGTTATGACTTCATAGATTATGTAACACACACTTTACACTTACATGCAAAAACAAACAAACAAAAAAACCAAAACCCACAATCAACTTTATTGAATAACCACAGGTGCCAAAGTGCACCTAACTGCAATCTACGCTTTAAAAAACATGCCACATCCTATTTTGGCTATGCAGGGGGCTTTGAAAACATGCACAGACAGCTTCTGCGCTTTGTCATCCATATTTAAACAAGAGCTCCCCTGTATTCTCCTATCTAGCCATCAATGAAGAGCCCGAGGAAGAGGATGAAGAGGATGACCAGGACTACAGCTTTCCTATATCTTCCATTCTAGAGTGGTAAAATTTCCATCACTTTTGAAACAGCCATTGGGCAAGAATTACAATGTCCATACTGTACATAAGTGTATGCTTATTTATTTGGGGAAGAAAGAAGTATACATATAGTTGAATCTTGTAGACATTTATTTATACTGTGTCATGTTTTATAATTTATACATTAAAGAAGTCTGATTGACTGTACACCTTTTTTTTTTGAAGAAGAAATGTAATCGTTATGGGATGAGCTGTGTTATTTATTGTGAGGTCTCTTGCTTGTAAAGTAAAGCTTTTTTTCTTGTAAACTATAAATCCATTCCTTAGAGCCTAACCCTCCTCCCCAATTACAATTTTCAGCTCCTTATTTCTGCCAATGTTAACTCTTTTCCATTTTAACAAAACTTTGCATGACAGTTTCAGTTACATTTTCTATTTATTGTGTTTCCTTCTTGCCAATTCTGTATATAAATACATGATCCCTCGGATATTTGTTTACAAGGAATCTTGACTGACCAAAAGGCGCTGTAAACTGAGTTAAGTATATATTTGAGGTGGAAAGAGGGAGAGCTGTAACAGAACCTCTTTCCCTGGCTATGTTCTCTGATTGTATCATGTAGTAAAGGGATCTCAAAATCCTGAACATTTATATTGTACTATGAGAATTCAAACCCAAAGATCGGATTATGAAGGGTTTTTTTAGTTGCTATGTGGCTAAATGTAAAGAAAGCATTATTTTCTTTTTTTAAGAAAAAGAAGAAACATGAAATTACATTGTCATGAACATCAATGTTTTATTAGGTCTGTCCTCACAGATGGTCCGTTCCATTTTTTAAACATTCTTTTTGTTTCACATTCAAAATGTTAACAGAATATTATATCAAAGCTTTATCAGTTCAAGTTTCTTGCTTTTCATAATACTTTCTTTTTCTGAGGCAATTTTATATTTTCAAACATGACAAGTTATATATAAATTCATTTAAATATATAGTTTTGTACTTTTCTACCATGTAAATGTGCAATGTATATAAAAGTTATAATGTGTATTTGTAAATAATTATGAGTGAAAAAAATAAAAAATGGATATCCTTTCCCCCAAACCTGTGTATATTGATTTCAATTATTGGTTGAGTTAAGCTGGTGGCCAAGAATATTCAGATTCAAGATGATCTATGGTGACTAAATTGGAATTATTGTAGGATACCTATGTAATACACAGAAGGAAACGAAGATTTTGTATGCTGAAAAATTGAGTTTGTAATTAGTAGTTGTCTGGGAATGTGCTAAAAAATGTAGGTTCAATCATTTTTAATCTGTCCTCATTACTCAATCTTGATGAGAGGAAAATTCTGCCCCATGGCATTTGTAAATATTACATTTAATGTAAAGGTATTTTTTATACTCTAAAGGACTCTAGCCCAACTTATTATGTTTTCACTATCTCATATTGAAACTAATAAGATTGAATATAGTATACAGGTTGGTTGTTGACTAAGGACTAGAGAAATCAAGGTTCTAAATCCAAACCACACAGGAATGTTGTGAGGATACAATCAAAGAGGACAGAATTATATATATTTCCCTGTTTCTTAGAGGAAGAAAAATACTGTATATAAATCAAATAAAACAATATTATTTGTGTCGCATTATACCTTTAAAATTTCACTGCAATTTTAAACTTCCTCCAGAGTCATAGAACTTATCTCTGTTTCATATAATCATGAGATTCTATAGAGTGGTATTTTTCCAAAATGATAATTAAGTTTCTCTCTGACAGACACTAGAATCTTGAAATTGTAATTATACATTTAAGCCTTTTTATTGAGCAATTGCTCTTGCATATTTCTTACACATAACAATTTTATGAAAACCTAAAATAATAAATTAATTTCATTGTTCTTGATGGCCTACAGCTGAATGTATTCACTAATATTACTGAAAAGTATCTGCTTGAGATGGTATTATTTTTATATTTTATATTTAATCTATGATAGCTCACTCAAATGCACAAGCCATCATTATATCTTCATCTTCATCATCACCATAATCATTTTAGCCATTGTCTATCCACTGCAGAATGAAGGCCTCTTCTGTTTGTTTCCAAAAATACAGACTTTAACTTTCTTTTGCCAATTGGACCCGCAATACTTGCTGATGTCAGTACATTTTACAATAATTAAATACATCTAACTATATAAATTACTCCATTCAATTTTCACCTCTTTTACCTAGTGTGGACTAATTATTTTAGATATAATTGTAAATAGATTTCTATAAAAAACATACTGTGGCCATGAATAAGAAACATAGGAAAGATCCTCCTGATTCATAGTAACATGTAATCCAGCATTATATCTCCCAGCTACAACCAACTGAATATTTCTGGAAAGCAAAAATAAAAGTAATTAATTTTTTTCCACTACTGTTCTCCAGGAGCTGATATTCACAGGCAAACGGTCTCTGAAATCGGAAGTCTGCATATACTGTAGTCAGTTCCATTTGGCTTTTTCAAAGCAATTTAGCTTATGATAATCATGACATTCATTACAGAATTCCTCAAATTTTGCAGGTTCTTTCTATCAGATTAATTCAGAGATGAGTTACTCATGATTTGCCCATCATTTTGCAGATCCAAGTGTTCCTTAAGACTTTCTGATACCATTTTTATTGGATTACCATTCTGCCACTACTCCTTTACTATCAGGGAGCTTGAAAGCAGATGATATTTTTGAGTACATTTTCCTTTTTAGAAATAGTGAAGGGTGCTATTGGTGGTATTTTTTGAAGATCAGTCTACACCAATCATTGGCTACTGACACTTCTGAAATAGCCTTATGGGAAGAACTCCCTTATGATGTCCTCCTGGGAGAATTTTAAAACTGGACGTTTTTAAAAAAGAGATTGGACAACGATTTGTCTGAAAAGGTATAAGGTTTCCAGCTGGAGCAGGTGGTTGGACTAGAAGAATTTCAAGATCCCTTCCAACTCTGTTATTCTGTTATTCCTTTGGTATTTAGCTGAAGACAGGATGGGTCCAAAGAAAGTGAAGATATACACATGCACCTCTTAGTCACCTGATAACTAAAAACAATGCAAGAACTTCACACTGTAGGAAACTCTTTCAAGGTACATGAGGATGGGTAGGAAAAAAAATGTAGGGTAATGTTCTAAGTTGAATGAATGCTAGTGTGGATTCGATAAGCTATATAGACTTCCTCTCAGTGAATGATTTCTCCCCCTTACTCACTCAGTCATTCTCTCTTTCTCTTTCTCTTAGCCTTGCCTAGATCACTGGATTGTGGTGTGATTAAAAGGAAAAGAATCCATTCTGCATGCTGCTCTGGCTTCCTCAGATGAAGAAGGAAAAAAAATGGCTCCAGAGATCTTTTCCCTTACCAAGAAATGCTATGTTGCAGGCTTCTCCAAGCTTATGCCCATTAATATGATGAATTACAACTCCCCAAATCCCAAATGTATTTGACTACATATGACCATGTTGAGTGGCCATTTGGGGAGTTGTAATCCAACACATCTGGAGAATATCAAGTAGGGAAAACTGATTCCTTTCCCAGAAAGGATGTGAGGAAAAGATGAGGCTGCAACATTTGTTAAGATTCTTTGCAGACAAAATAATTTGTATTTACTCTGGTTAGATGCCACTTGGACCAAGTCTAACTCCAACCAGGGCACTATCTTATAATGTGTATCTGGATTTCATTTAACCTAGTGAAGAAATAGACAGGGTTCTCTTCAGGGTATGAACTCAGTCACTCATGCCCCATTTGGGTCCTTTAGACAGCAAGCATATGTGTCTGGTTTCAGGAAATGATCAATGCTTCTTTGAGAAAAAGAAATGCGAACTGCCTTAAAAGAAGGCAAAGTCATGTCTTCTCCTGTCAGTGCCACAAGGGCACAGTCTCTCAATCCAGCTCCTTTATATAACTTCTGCCTCGTCTCCAATCTTCAACTTTAGGGAAATATTTTGGAGGCTATTGAAGGACATCAGAGGATCTTAGATAAAGTGAATTATCTAGATCCCCTCCATTCAAGATGCAGGTCTGGGACCAAAGCTACACTGGTTGCTCTAGTGGGTTAATTTTGTTAAGACCTGAAAGGAAGGACTATGTCACTTTTGGTCTTGTTCATTGCTATTGACCATAATATTTCTCTGGACTCCCTGTAAGGTTTGGGGAATGAAAGACTTTTTTTACAATGGGTCTGCTCCTTCCTAACTGTGCAGTTCCAGGCATTGTCATGGATAAGAGAAGTTGATCCTGTGATGATGCTGTAATATTTAACATGATACTTCTGAGAGAGGTCAAATACATCTCTATTATATCACCTTTCCAAGATCAATTTGAGATGTAATGGAGATAGTTTCCTGCAAGCTGTGATGTTCCAAATAAAATGATTTAACCAGGTTAAATCCCAAACAAGTTTATATTGTTCTTATGAAAACATTTAGCATTCCGGTTTGGTGTCAATGATGGTTCTAGATAGGGTTATGCTTCCTCTGAAATAGCAACTCTTGAATTGAATGTTCTCACAGATCCACAGATTTCTCTAAGATTCCATAAGGAATGGCCTAATGCCTCACTTAAGAGATAAAGCTAAAGTGTTATCCAGTCCTTATCTGCTATGGCTTGAAAACCTTCTTTCCTCCCTTAAAATGCCAAGTTGAATAATTTGATAGATTTTAGATTTTGTTTTATAATTGCCTGTATATGGAGTAAGCAATATGCAAGCATACATAGTAAATTTCATAAACATGCAGTCACATTCACACACAAGTATGTTTATATTCTAAAGCTCTGTAGAGTAGAAAAACCTAAGATGGAACACAAGGGATACAAGCTCTTCCCTTTTCAGGGTACAAGCAATGTTGTCACATGAACATCAGAAGTGGGGCTGCATCATGACATTACATCTGCCTTCTTGCAGGTTTTGTTCCCACCTGCATGGACCTGCATTAGATAAAACACTATCTAATAATGCTTCTGCAATCTGCACTTCTCTCAGCCCCAAAGTATCTGACAGTCAGCTGAAGAAAAAGTTGTTGAGGTTGTATATTGACCACTGATCTGAGACTGAATAGCATATACTGATTACTCTTGTAATCAAACAGGTGTGAATTTGAGATGGGGGGGGGCTCTTTATCACTAATATGGATTAAGTTTATTATACAATTTTTCACATGGTGTGCCTCATATTTCTTTGAAAAAAGATTGAATACAGATGCAAAGTGAGCAGAGTCATTTCAATGCACAAATGGGACATGGTTCTTTAATTTCCTTCAAGATTCAGAGCTTGTTTGCTTTTTAATTCCATTTTAGTACTTTACCCAGGTTCACATTTTTTTGTCTTAATATAGTGGGAATTCTGCTACTTCTTTGCAGCAATCATGCCATGGAAATTTAGCAGTATAATCAGACAGGATCTGGGGAGAAGCAAAAACCTTTGCAAATAACTAATATTTGAAGGCAGCTATCTAATTCAATTACAATTTGAATTCACAGTTAACAGATTCATTCCTTCAAACCCAATGGACTGGCTAGTGAAATTGAGGACCCTTGAAAATTCTGATTAACAGTTAACTCTCTGATCAATGAAACTTCAATTGGTATACACCTTTTCTGGGAAATGAGAAAGTAAAACAGGATCTATTAGTAATCTCTTCCTCCACAATGGCATGTAATTATATTTCATAGAACTGCAACCAAAAACAAAGCATTTCATAATCATTATAGCAGCTAAATTATATAGCAATTGGTAGGTGAAGCTGTGGAGTTTGGAATGGTTGAGTCCCATTATGAAATCAAGTCTGCCACATGTTTAAAGAGATACCACTCTGTTTCAGAAATGCAAGGAATGTGTGAGACACTTATTCCTATGGGAGACTAGCTGAATGCATAAACAAGGCAGATTAAAGGAG